GCTTATATTATACCAGTCATAAAATCTCTTCCAAGTTTTTTGAAAAGTCCATTCTGTTCCAGCTCTCATCTCCAGCGTCAATTTATCATTCTCAGCCGCTTCAAACAGCTTATTCACATATTCTTGTTTTGTTGGAGTCTCCATTGTTTTCCAATATTTAGCATATAAAATCCTTGCAGCTGTTGACAAATAAACAATCAAATACCTATCTGCTTTATCAAAGTCTTTTGGAAATATATTCAATAACAATATTTCTGGAGTAAATGGGACCTTAGTTCTTATACTTTTTTGCATTATTTCATATACCCATCTCCAAAACCTTTTTGTAACATCACATAGCCACCATATATGATAGAATGAACCAGTCTTATTCTTACACCTTTCTCTTAACTTTTTTAGTAGTGACGTCCATTTCCTTCACCTTCTCTCCCATTTGCTCTGTTGCTTTTAAGGATTGAGTCAGTTGCATCTGCTGCGCTGCCACACTCTGACCAATTATTGACAGTTATTGTTTAATGCCAGTGATCTCATCCAGCAGGGGGCACAGGGAGTCAGTCAAGAGTTTTAAGAGCTCAGTGACCTCATCCGTTTGAGGACTGCCCCCTAGTTTCGGTTTCAACAGCTTCTCTTTCTCTGGTTTCTTCCCCGCCATCCTTTTGGATTTGTTTACCTTTAAAAAAAGTTGCTAAAGTCTCTGATATTCGCCTGAACGCTTTTCTGCGTTCTCTGAAAACAGTTTTAGTCGCTTATTTTTCCGCTCCCCCCTTTTTCCGTCCGTGTTCTGTCTATGCGTTTGGGAGGGACCCCTCCCCCGCTCGCTCGCTCACTTTCCCGTCGCTCTTTAGTGGGGGCAGCTCCTTTTTATATCTTCATGCTTGCTTCAACCCGACTCACAGTTCGTTGTTGGCCATTCGGCCTCGCCTGTCATCATTTATTTTGCCTGATCTCCAACGCTTGTCCCGGTCAGCAGCACTCGTACCATGCAGGACCTTCGGGGCAGAGGGGTGCCTCAATTCTCCAGCATTTGGCCATCAAAGAGGTCGCCCCTCAAAAGCCCCCTGGCTGGGAGCGTTTTACCAAGGCTCCGGGGAGGTCATGACCCGTCGGACCCCTCCCACACGCTGGTGTGCAGTTTACATCCCCAGGACGTCTGGGAGATGTGTCTGCCTGCATGTCGCCATAAACCAGAAGCCCCCTATTGCTTTGTTTTAATGGATGTTCCATCCTGTTGCTTGTATAGACTTATTCTGTGCAATATGCCTTGAGTCGCAGTGAGAAAAGTGGACTATCATAATGTAAATAGATAACAAATACATGTTCCCGAATGGTTTCAGATTCTGTTTGTTTCCTTGCCACAGATGATCTGGCCAGTGAGATGGAAGATGTGGATTTAGAAGAAGAAGAGGTTGCTTGGGAGACGGAGGAGGAAGATGAGGGGGTGGAGGAAGGCATGGAGGTGCAAGATGATAGTGAGGTCACATTTTCAAAGCACACAGGTGAGCTAGCACAGGGAAGGGAGTTTCCCGCTCCTGGCATTGTCTGGTTTCCCTAGAAGATGCTCATGTCTTCTCTTCTTGTTTTGAAACTGGTGAGGGATCCTGTCCTTTTTGTGGGGAATATGGCAAAATGAAACTTGGATTGAATTGGGGGGTGGTGGTGGTCATGAGTGCTACATGTACGTTTGTTTGTTTATTTATTATTGTATTTCTATCCCACCCTCCCCGCAAACGGGCTCAGAGCAGCTTACAAACAAGGGCAACCATGTGCCAATATAAAATATTAAAAACAGAATAAAAACAACCATAATTAACAATAATAAAGTGCTCAATGATGTTCATCATACAGATCAAATCAAGATGGTGACCTATAGATATTACCCAAAAGCCCGATTCAGCGGTACCAATCCATCGCGATACTGTGGCAAGATCTTTATAATGGGC